TTGATGCTGCTTGACCTGCTGTGTTCATCCAGCTCTGCACCTTGTTGTCTCGGATTCTCCAGCATCTGCAGTTCCTACTATCTCTGATAGAAATAATTCAAGCAGTTTACAAGTGATCAACAAATGTGCTGGTCTATTATTACTCCGAACATGTAAACAGAGGGCGGTAAGACACTGTACAGGCAGCGAGGAACAGGTGTTCCAAAACGAGGAGGCCGAGTATTAGGCCGTGGTGAGAAGTGTCGAGCTACGATCATCCCACGAATTTCGACTCATGAAAAAAAAACTCCAGTCGGTCTCAAGTTGTGCCTATTTGCAGCAATTTGAAATCGTGCTCAGAGTTTCGCACAGCAATGAAATAAACATTAATTAGCGGTCCTCCCCAACCCCACGATCCTGGTTAAAACCTTAGCATCCACTTTACACATAACTCACAATCAAAACAGAGGCAGAACTTCGTGTGACTAAATACTCTGGCGACCATTTTCAATGCGGCAATACTCGAGAATAAGGCGTTAACTACACAGGGCAGGGAGACCACACTGCCACATTCCCGAACATTTGGCCATCCCGGCCTGAGGTGGTGGAGGAGGGCGCGCGCGCATTGCGTCATCACTTGTTGCGGACTCGGTGACGTCACCGCGCCGAATGCGTACTACGTCATCGGATCCTGAGTATGGTCGCCATTGGGTTAAACGCCTGAGAAAGCCGAGCGAGGAAGCTAAGTTGAAGAGGGGGGTGGGTGGGTAGAAACTGCGGCCTCTAAGCTACTTAGCCCGCCCCCAACACCCCGCACTCCGAGAGACCCCTTCGGAATCCGAGCCCGGTGCAAGTGGCGATTAATGAAGAATGTCTGCGACAAGCGTTGACCCTCAGGTAGGCAGGGCTCGGAAGCGGCTGGGTCTTTGTTGTGTTCTACCCCCCCCCCCCCCCCTCTTCAACACACACTCCTCCTCTCGCTGCTTCACTGGGGGGGAGGGGGGTGAGCCGCGGGCTTCGTTCTACAATTTACCGAGGCCGCGAATCTGCCTTAACACTTCTCTTTTTTATTTAATTTGCTTCCCGTTTGCTGCTGTGTCCGTCCGGTGGTGGCCCCTAAACAGAGAGCGAAAGGACAAGAGAATAAAGGTAAAGTGCTGGCCTGGAGGCCCCGCGGCTGCTGCAGATGCCTTAAATAACGTGGAAAGTTGCCATGAATGGCTTTTATTTTATCTGCTGCGTGCCACTCGGGAGGTATCCTCCTATCCCTCCCTTTCCCGTCCGGGCTATGCCTTGGTGATTTGGGGTCGGCGGCAACATCAGGACTAAATGTGGCGGAAATGCCCGATGAAAGTTGGGAGTTAAGGCCAAGTTTCCCCTCTAGTCGTGGGATCGGCCTCCTCCCGCTTTATGATGACTTGTACTAAGGAAACGTCAGATGTTTCTCCTTTGAACGTTCCTCCTTTTGTCCAGAAAAGCAATTGTGAGGAGAGTTTATTGTTACTCGTTTGCATAAACGCGAGTTCCTTTCTTCCCCTGTTTAACAAGAGTGCAGTCATCTGAAATTTAACAAAATGCAACTTTTGAAAACAGAAAATGTTAGAAATGCGTCTGCCGTTCGATATTTACTCCTTTTGTTTTCTGTTTTCAGATCTTGATTCTCTATATACGTATATCATTTTCTTTGTTTTTGCCACAATTTTTATTACAACTTTTGAATATTTGCAGGACTTGTATGGACATTTACTAGAATGTTTTACATTACAGTGCAAAATGGTTCATTGCATCAAAAGGATACAGTGCACGACAATGATTTTGAGCCATACCTAAGTAGCCAGTCCAATCAGGTGAGTTAAATACCTATTTTATCTTAAGATCTCTAGCTCAGGGTAGTCTGGCAAACAAACTAGTCAGTTGGAAAACCATAAGTATTAATTTTTCATTCTTTGGATGCTAGAATGATAATTTGGCAAATTACATATTCTATACATATTGTACATTGTAAAGGGGCATTCAAGCTAGAGAACACTATGTAGCTCTTGTGCAGTTTTATGGATTTTGTAGCAGCAGGCCTAGAAAGAAGTTAGAAGTAATTACTTTAGTAGGATAAATGTTTTTAAAGTTTAGGTGCTTGGGAATGTGTGATGTTAATATTGATGGCACAGGTTAAATTACACAAGCACACCAGCTACAAAATCTTGATTTTGTAACAATTATGGTATCTCTCTTCATGACATTATACACAGCCTTTCATTTTAAAGGACTTTATACAATCAGCTGTATGTTTTGTGGGGCAATGTAATCAACTTTGTGGAATCAATTCCCTGGATTTTATGTTGGGAGCATTTTCTGCCAAATATTTTCTTTAAAAAAGTGCAAGTTTAATGTCTGAAAGATGGATCACTCCTTGTTGAAATAATTTTTCGTCTATCATTTATCCAGTTTTCTTCGTAACATGTTATCTATGCACACGTGCTATTATTGATCATGTTACATATGAACATAAGCTTGAATGGAAAAAAAACTGGTTTGACACTTTCTTTTGCTTGTAAATCATTGAAAGTTGCTGATCTCTGCACCGGACGTAGTTGCAAAAGAATTTTCTGCCCAATGAAGGGACTTGCTGTGTAAAAGTGTGCTGTTGCTATCAATCTCAATATTGCATTAATTGGAAGGTGTGGGCAAAATTTGACAATCCCAAGTTAGCCTTTTGGTTGTATGTAGACTTGAGCACACTATCAAATTTCAGTTATTAGTTAAAGGGTACCGAATTAAAAAAAAAAAAATCTCAAGTTGCATCCTTTAATTGAATTAGGAAAACATGTGTCTGAGCACCAAAAAAAGTTTTTGGTCACTGTCTGTTGTTGTTCTCTCCTATTTGCTTTTTATTTAAGTAACGAGAATTCGTATTTGAGCTTGTCTAAGATTTGGCAAGTTATCTGATGCAGGGGAGTCTCTGCATGTCTCAATCCTGTCCTCATCCAACGTATGTTGCTAGTAACTGAAAGTTGATAGAGATTAGAATTGTGAGCCTTGATTTTTCTTTCCCCACTTCCTATCCCAGGTGCACTGAGGTCTATTTCCTGCTTTTGCATTGTCTCTGAACAGATAACTCAGCCTAGATTAAGTATCAAATTGGGATTTTTAATTGATATGACAGCTTCTCTCTGATTTGCTATGCCATTGGAGGAACTGCTGTCAGCAATAAGCCTCTGTTATTTTTAATATGACCGTGTTTGAATTAAGTTTACATTTTATATTTAATTTTCGTGATTATTTTAGGAAATACGCTTAGCCTACTTAGGTTTGAATATTCAATGTCTAAAATACTTGTTATTTAAATCAAGTGTTTTGAGCAGTGTTTCATGTTGCTTTTTCCTAATGTTGTAAAGTTAACTAAAAGTACTAAGGTATTTAAACAAATGTTGTTTGTTTAACCTACATCACAGAAAACCATGGTTGTTTAAAATTATTTAAGCATGTGCTAAACTGCTGAATATTAGGGCAAAATAGACTTGAGGTTCTTGAACAGTTTAATTCTGAATGAAAATTTTACTATAAACTATAACTCAAACAAAAAACACCTAGCGCATTTGCTGTAAAGCCAAGGATGTCATAGACTTTATGGAAAATAGACGGGTGAAGTAGAAATATTTTGGTGTAGATACACAAGTCATCAACTTTACTGAACACAGGTTAGTAAGGTGATTTTTATTCAAAGCAGCAATCAGCACTGAAGTCAGTTTTTGGATAGGTAATAAATGACGGGAAGGAAAATTGTGTTTAACACGTACAGAACCTTGGTTGATAATGTGCACAATTCTGATTCTCCAAATTATACCTATGCTACAAAGTATTTGAGATTTAAAAGAATGATTTCAGAACTAAGATGCGTGTCAGAAGAGAGAAGGATGAGGGTGAACTGATTCAGGAATTTTAAGATTTAAGTAATGTAAAAGTAGAGTCACCAATAGCCACAGTAGACTATTGGGCTGTTATTTCATTGGCGAAAGACTACTGGTGGTGGTTTAACCTGAGGGTCACCACTCCTCCAGTGAGGGGAGAGGTTGAGAAGGAGGGACCTTCATGGTAATCTCAGCTGGTATACAGTTGGTACCAGTCTGCAACACAATCCAGCCAACTAAGCCCACTGACCCCTGTTTAAGATTGTGAAATTTTTTGAAAGGGTTAATGCAGAAATGTTTCTACCTGTGGTTGAGAACAAAACTAGGCACTGCAAATAAGAGTCTGTCACAATTATGTCCAAAAGAGAATTCAGAAGAAACTTTATTAGCAGTGTGATTAAAATAAAGAGAAAGTAGTAGTTCAGACAAATAGCAGAGAAGTATTTAAAGACAAACTGGATGAACATGAAAGGAATAAAAAGTTATGCTGATTGGATTAGATGTACGAAGATAGGAGAAGACTCGTGAGGAGCATAGGTATGAGTTGGACTGAATTGCCTGTTTCTATGCTGTCATGCTATTTTCCTTTGCTTGAGCAATGTCGAACTAAGTGACAGCAATTTTTTTTCTAGGTAGAAAAAGCCTAATCTTTAAATTGGGGTGCATTACACCAAGATGTTCGTATTTGTACCGACGTTCTGCATCATTAGGACCATGCAACTTTCATTTCTCATTATTTGAGCCAAAAGATTATTGAACTTCCAATTAAACCTAGAGTATAATTTCATTGAAAATTTAATTTGTATGAAAACATATAGCAAACAAATAGTAGTTATAAATTGAAAACAAGTGTTGATTTTTACACTCCTCAACAGAATGAACTCCAATCTAATAGAATGTGTTTAAAACTCTAAGTGGAGGTCTCAAAATAGAATCTGATCATAATCCTTTAGCCTATCTCACTTAGTGTTTTACACTTGTGGTTTACTCTCGCTTTAGTAATCTGATCAACTGTGTCATCAATTTTAGAATAATCTGATATGAAACAGTTAAATATTCATCTTGGGAAAACAGTGATAGGACTGGACAGTCAGCGTAGATTTACGACACAGAAATTGTGCTTGATAAATCTACTGGAGTTTTAAGAGGTTGCAACCAGTAAAGTTGATAATAGGGAATCATGGATGTGGTTTACTTGGACATTCAAAAGGTGTCCAATAAGGTCCCACTTAAGAGATTAGCCTGTAACATTAAAGCACGGGATTGGGGGTAGTGTACTGACATGGATGGAGAACTGACAGTTTCCAGTCTGTTAGAATGTAGTGGTGGCCAGTGTTTGATGGGATACCAAAGGAGTCAGTGCTAGGACCCCAGCTGTTCACAACATATATTAATGATTTAGATGAAGGAACTAAATGTAATATCTCCAGTTTTACAAATGGGTGGGAGGATGAACTATAAGGAGGAAGCACAAATCGACACATGCATGGCAGATGGAGTTATAATGTGGATAAATGTGAGGTTATCTGTTTTGGTAACAAAAACAAGGTGGATTATTAAATGCAATAGATTGGGAAAAGGGGAGATATCCTTGTATGTTAGTTGCTGAAAGTAAACATACAGGTGCAGCAGGCAGTAAAGAAGGTAAATGGAATGTTGGCCTTCATAGCAAGAGGAATTGAGTACTGGAGCAGGGATGTCTTGCTGCAATTGTATAGGGCCTTGATGAGACCACATCTGGAGTAGTTTGTGCACTTTTGGTCTCCTCATCTGAGAGAGGATGCTCTGCCTATAGAAGGAGTACAATGAAGGTTTATTGGACGGATTCCTAGGATGGTAGGACTGACGTATGAAGAAGAGATTAGATTGATTTAGGTCTTTTACTAAAAATGTTTTAGTTTTATTTAAAATCCAAATTGCATCTTATATACTCAATGATTTGCTTCTTCAGACCAGTATTTTGATTCTGTTAACAAAAGTCTGAGTAGGCAGCCATTATATTTCGATTATTACATTTATGACTATTTTCTGTTTATTGTGGGGTATGTATTATATTACACTTCTAACATTTACAATGGTAGGCAAACCTCAAAGTAATAAACAACTTTTTTCAGCACTTTTTCTAAAATAGGTCACGTTAGCACCTGGTTTGAACTCCATTAATTATGTCATAACAATTTTGAAAAAATGAATAATGTGTTAATGGGGCTGAAGTGGTATTTAATTCTTATTGCTTATTGAGAAAGTTGATGTATTATTTGTAAAAAAAAAAAAAAAAAAATCACCTTTTGTCCAGTATATGTGGAACTCTGATGTTTGTAGTAACTTAAATGTTTCAAAATATTTAATTGTACATTTTTCCAAGAGATGTAATATTTAAAGAAAAAGCAATTTGTAGCAAAATGTTTGTAAAGAACTTGATTTTAAGACAAACTGGATGTTGCAAATGTTTGCAAGAGCTAAGGCCCTGTTGAGCCCAACTATCTTCAGCTGCTTTATGAATTGTCTCTTTGTCCATTTTAACGACAGAATTGTGACTGTTGTGAATCCAGTGTTCAGCTCAGTTTGCATAACCTTGGGTAATGAATTACAGTTCAGCACTGTGTGCAGCAAGTCCTGGATAACATTTAAACTTTGGCTGGTTAGTAGCAAGCAGCACTTGTACCCAAGAAGTGGCAGGCAGCAATTAACATCAACAAAAGTCAGGAGGTGGGGCATTTGGCCTGAGGGTCACTATCAATCAGAAATACCATGAATGCTGATGTAGACCAGAGATTGGACTCTTAACTCCTCACAGCCTTTATGCCACCTGCAAGGTGCAAGCCAGGGTCAAGATGGAATGATATACTCTTATCTTGATAGATATAGTTCCAATAATTTTTGAGATCCTCAACAACAACACAATCCAGGAATAAGTAGGCTAATTCATCAGCATAGTATCT